GTCAAGTAAAGCGAGTAGAGAGGTAGGACTTTGTAAACAAGTTTTCAAACAAAACAATTGAAGGAGTTTAAGGTTTAAGGTTTTGCAAATCAGGAATATCCCAAAATGGGCACACACAGAACACGGCGTCTTGACACAAATGGAAACGTGTGTTCATTTCATGGATAACAGAGTCTACTTTATATGACGCGGAACAATTGCAACATGTTTCGTTATTTGACGGTGTGATTGGCATTTTTGAAATTGGTTAGTAAAGTAAAGACTAGGTATTTTATGGATGACAACTTCTTTATTCTATTAGGTTGCGACGTTGTCGGTATAAGGATCCATTCCGAAACGTTCAGTCATAACAGAATAAAGACGTTGTCATCAAACACACAGAATAAAGACGTTGTCTTCCATAAAATATCTTGTCTCTACTGATATTTGCTTATTGACAATGCAAATGACTGTCGGGCACGATTTGCATGACGCCCCGTCCCGACTGTATGTCTGACATTTAAGATGACTATCATATTATATTTGCATGTGATGCATATGGGATTTCAGGAAAGATTATATTCGAGACTTCAGACAGTGAGTCAATCCAGGTCAAAGTAGGTCTGTAGTTGACCCGTGAAGATCCGGGTAGAGAATAGCTCTTCAGCAACCCATGCTTGCCGTCAGAGGCGACAAACGGGATCGGGTGAGCAGGCTCGCTGACTTGGTTTCATGCATGTCATCGTATCTCAATTGCGTAGATCGATGCTCATGATGTCATTCGCTAGATTGTCTGGTCCAGACTCGATTATTTACAGACCGCCGTCATCTCGCTCGAATATTGCTGTGGGCGGTGTTAAACAACCAACAAGCAGAAAAGCATGTAGTTAATACATGTATTGGCTTTAAGAAACCGTTCGTGTTCATGTTCATATTACCATGCATTGTGCGATGCAGTATGTAAGTCAATGTACATAGGATGGGGGCCTTACATAACTAAGTATATTGAATCTTTAGAGCTCAAGTTGTTTTATGCATAAATGGAGCATTATCTGGGAGATTGGATTTTACAGACGCTTCGGACTGACATCAAACGGGTCAGAGTGTGACCTTTTGCATTCCTGATGTTTTTGTTGGAACAACCCTTTGGCTTACGAAAATGCCAGAAGTAATGTAAGTTTTCACGGCGTTTGCGTAATGCGAATTCGTATCTAGTGCATTATATATGTGGTTTGGAGAAGTAGACATCTATATCACAATGTTGAGGACGGCGTCCATGCACCCAGCGTGTTCCATATCTATTGTTGAAAGTATACCCGCTGCAAGCGGAACTCATGAGGACAAAATAAATGTTGTGTTCAACCGTTCACAAATTCAAGAAAGGAATGTTTATAAAACCATTTATCGTGTATTTAGTGATAAAATACTACTTATCTCCAAATGTAAAATCGATCACACGTTATGCCGGAATTCCAGTCCCCTCAATGAAACTAAAGTTTACAGAGCAAGAAAATACATAACAACTTACTAAATCATTTGGTGTTTTTCTTGTCAAAAAGTACGTTTATCTCATCTCGTGGCCTGTAGAGTTGACATTTTCCCTAGTGGGAAGGCAAATGTCCCATATTTATTATATATTTAGAGATAAAATAATATATTTATCTGGAAATATAAAATCGATATTTGACGATAATGTTCTTTCAATCTAGTAAAATGGCATCTTTTGTCGGAACTAATTTACTTTCCGTCTGCCTGATAAACATAGTGACTATGAATTTCAGATTGAGACATAAAGGACCAGTGAAAAATATATAACAAACAGTACATTTTGCTTTTTTTGTCACACAGCATGTTAATTATATCTGTGATGGGGTTCCTGATGCGAATGGATCCACTGTAAAAACCTGACTCCCAATTAATATATGCATGGGTGACGCTATTTTTCAGGGCATCACCATATGCAGAAGCCCGAGGTCTGACATTAACTGATCGACGAATGTTAATGACATGACAAATAGCTTTACCGCTTTTATAGCTAGATGGAGAGAGGTTGTCCTTGGCATGATATCCCTTAACCAGCCCAGTCACACAACAACGTTTGTTTTATTCACCCAACGGATACTTCCCGCTAAACTGACAGGCTAAATACAGCATGATACTTGCTGCTAAATTGACAAAATGAATACAACATGATACTTGCAGCTCAATTGACAGGTTAAATACAGCATGATACTTGCAGCTCAATTGACAGGTTAAATACAGCATGATACTTGCAGCTCAATTGACAGGTTAAATACAGCATGATACTTGCTGCTCAATTGACAGGTTAAATACAGCATGATACTTGCAGCTCAATTGACAGGTTAAATACAACATGATACTTGCTGCTAAATTGACAGGTTGAATACAACATGATACTTGCTGTTAAATTGACAGGTTGAATACAACATGATACTGGCTGTTAAATTGACAGGTTGAATACAACATGATACTTGCTGCTAGATTGACAGGTTGAATACAACATGATACTTGCTGCTAAATTGACAGATTGAATACAGCATGATAATTGCTGCTAAATTGATATATTGAATACAGCATGATACTTGCTGCTAAATTGACAGGTTGAATGCAGCATGATACTTGCTGCTATATTTACATATTGAATATAGCATGGTACCTGCTGCTTTTTTGACAGGTTGAATACAGCATTGTCCTTTCTGCTATATTGACATATTGAATACAGCATGGTACTGCATCGTGTTTGGGCTGTCAACCTAATCGTTACTACGACTGTGTATTTTTATGACCAGGGGACCTCGCTGTCATATGATCACAACGCGAAACCGCTAAGCCACGTTTCTGATCATGACAATCTTTCTTTTAAAACGACCTCCAGAGGTCAGTGTGACATATTACCTAAGAAAAACCATACACATTTCCAAAGCCCCCCTTGAGCGTTGTTCGGAATTGCCCGATAAGAGTGTTCGGGATAGCCAGATAAGAGTGTTCGGAATAGCCAGATAGAATCTTCGGGATAGCCAGATAAGAGCGTTCGGGATAGCCAGAAAGGGTGCTCGGAATAACCCTGAAATAGTTCTGAAAATGAAAAGAGTCTCTTTGCTCCTTATATATATCCTTATTATATGTTTATAACTATAATTTAACAGCTTCATTTCAAAGACTAGATGTTAGTCAAGCCATGGTCGAATGAGGCCACACGACTTATTGTGAAGTAACCATTGTTGATGACGTCTTTCTGAGCAGCTGTTGTATCCCTTGTGTGAATGACTGACAATGGGGCACACCCGGAATACAAGACACTTTGTGGCTATGGGTCACAACTTCCTTCAATCTCTGTCACGACGTTTCATGTGTAGCTACTTCTACTTCTTCAGGGGAGGAATGCTGAGTGATGAGTGAGTCCATATGGTTAATATATATATATATATATATATATATATATATATATATATATATATATAGAGAGAGAGAGAGAGAGAGAGAGAGAGAGAGAGAGAAGTTATCACGCGAGTGTGTTTGGGGATGGTAAATATCCTGCATTAGGAATAAACATTGTACGTAGCGAGCCTTGGCGAGCTATATGCATAGTGTTTATTCCTAATACGGGATACTATTTTAATTTGTGGGAAAGGTTTCAAGCCGGTCTACAAGCGCAGATATTGGCTTGGCCTAGTGCCCTCGCAAAATTGTTTCGAAATTTATATCTCCAAAGTAGCCCAAACTTATAAAATGCCTTAGCTACGTCACAGTTAGACGCCGATTTTCAGTATATTATACTGTTCTTTTGATAATGGTAGCAACTATTTCTGTAGTTTATCCAGATTCCCGATAGTTAATTCTGACTCGATCACCGAATGACAAGTGCGACGCCGTGTTTGTTTATAAACACTGAAAGTTGTCCCTACTTGACCTTTGATATTTGCATCTCTTTCCGCATATGACCCCAACGGATATCGTTTTTATCCGCTGGCTTTATCCTGCCGACCGAGAAACCTACCCATTATATATGTCAGACGTCATGACAAAGATTAAAAGAAGTTGCTATCCATAAAAAATCATGGATTTTTTCGTATAATAACAGTGACGCTATTTTTCAGGGCATTAACCTTTGCAGAAGCCCGCGGTCTGCAAATGATATAATGCCCTGAAAAATAGTCTTATCCTTATGATAGCCATAAACTTGGGGTGGGGAATCCAAACAACGGACTGCTGTATGTAATAACATTCTCAAACAAAAGAGGTTGTTCTTATTTCTATTTTCCCCCTCTGCTTCCGCCCTCCACGTGCATCGAAACACGACTACCGACGATACCACACACAACAGACCTAGCTACCAACGCAGACATAATTTTATTTTAATGTTGTTACTTTTGTTAAAAAGTAATATTTACGAAGTTAACTCGACCCGACAAGTGGGGCCAGTCCCGGAACACATAAACTGTGTCAGGCGGGCCGGGCCACACAAGGAAAGGAGAAGAATTTCACGCAAAAGCTGCACAAATGAAGTATCGCTACATAATGTATACATTTCCATAATTCTGCGGTTGTATGCACTGACATTTGAAATACCAATGCATAAAAGGTTTCAATAAATAAAAACTTCAAAAGGACAACGTATAGTGTGTCATCATTGTTATTGTTTTAATTTCAAATATGACTATCTGTATGCTTTTCACCGTCAGAAAATCGATGTAAAATATGTCCATGTGATATGGACAATTATTAACGGTGGCTAACTCAAAGTTATACATTGTAGCACGTTTCCACACCATGTTGTACACAGCAGTTCAAGCCCGGTAGTCGTATACTGCAGTAGATGTGTGCGGATCAAATTTCGCTTCTACACACGCCAGGTCCGCGCTCGAGCTGCTAAACCTCCCACCCTAGCGTTTAGAATGATAACATCAGATTAAAACCGCATCTCCGATGCAGCAGTTGCCATAGTTTCTTGTCAACAACTTGCCGACCGATCGCCGTGCGTAATTATTTATTCTAAGTGGCGAGCGCCCCCTACATGTCACGTGACTCGACGGTGAATGAAATCGGAAAATAGTCGAGACAGTCCGATGTGTGTGTATTTGCTGTAGGATCTTACTGTGCTTGGTTGGAAGGATGCCACTGTTTGGGAGAAAACAAGAAACAGAGAAAAAAAATACAAAAGATGGGGATATACGGCGGAAGTACGAATTCAAAGAAACACTCGGAACGTAAGTACCTCGGTGGTAGTTGATCATGACTGAAACGCCAGTCGGCTTTCCAGCATTCCTTGTCAATCTGAAATCCTGATATCCGTCAACGCGCGACACTAGTTGCCGTTAGCGATGGGGTTTTAGGGGTACGTGCTTTAGGGAACGAATGATAATGACACGCGACAGGTTCTAATCGCGAGTCCTACGTTTGACATTTTTATTTCATATATTTGTAATGAATTATACGAATGAGGGGAAATATTTGGCCCCATTCAAATAACGTTGGTCCAACTATAATCGTGAAAAATTAACTGAAGTATGTTGTGAATTGGTTGATGCCCTACCATTGCATTGCCAATAATGAATGTGATCTTACTATTTAAATATCTTTATCAGCGCTTTTTTGTATTTATTTGCTCCCACACAAACACTATTTTGTGAGGCTTGTAAACAGTAATAAATCTGGCTTATCTGTTAATCTGTGGTCGCGAATGAGTAAAGTGTACAATGTAAATAATGTAATTGACAAAGGTGACACTTATAAAAAAAAATTCACATGTTGAAAAGGTTGTGTCAGAGATTGAGCAGTAGGGAACAAATGTTGTTCCAATGTTTAGTTGTCGATATTAGTTACAAGGCAAGTATATTCACCTACACGACTGTTTTCTGTAAATAATGTGCAATATACACAAGAAAATATGGACTGCCTTGTAAATTTTCAGTCTTCAAGGGGAACAAGAAGTTGGTCGGGTTGCTTAATGGGTCAGGGTAATTAATATGGCAAATATGGTATGTGTTGGAATGACAGGAAGGTTTAGAGTAGAATATTGTGCAACATTGGCATTATGGGCCCATGTTTGGGGCAGTGTGCAATTATGTAAAAACCCATATATAATACATATCTATATCCTGTATCCCCATGCAAGAACAGCTGCATAGTGTATGAGTCAAGTTGTGAACAGTGTTTAGAACTGAATTATTACCATCAGGAAAGGAAGCTCAAAGCAAACATAGTTTAATTGTACATGGTACAATTCCTTATCTAGTCTCATTGAAACTATGACTATGTTTGCTTGGTGAAAATTTTGTTGTTGATAAATTGAAAGTATGAACTTATAAAAATAAAGTGTTCGAAGGATTTTCTGCTGCAGGCATTTAATCTTCAGATCCCATAACACTTTTAGCTGTCAGCATTAGGTTATGCCATGGGCCCTTGGCTTTCAGACTGTCACACTGCTTACACAGTGGCTATCATCTGAAGGAATGATGATAGCTAGCTTAATGTCGCACTGTTCAGTAGCAAGGTACAACAGACTGTGGCACTGTTCAGTAGCAAGGTACAACAGACTGTGGCACTGTTCAGTAGCAAGGTACAACAGACTGTGGCACTGTTCAGTAGCAAGGTACAACAGACTGTGGCACTGTTCAGTAGCAAGGTACAACAGACTGTGGCACTCTCCCAGTCTCACTGTCAGGATTCTCTCCTTGTTCAACTATGGGATACAAAATGTGGTCACTATAGAAGTCACTGATTACCTCATCATTGTAGTAAGTGGTTGTGTATGAGAAGTGTATTTCACTGGGTAATTGCCCCCCTGTCCCCTTTACAGTTTGTGTTGTGCCAGTGGCACAATGAAGTACAATTCACTTGATATTTCCCATATCAAAATTGTATGTTATGTCAGTTCAAGGTATATCAGTTGTGATTGTTCAGTCAGTAATGTAGGTGTTAAACAAGGCACACATTAGCCTTGATAATGGAAACATAAAGAAGGATGCAACTTGGCACTAGCCCATTGCCTGAGTGAGTTGATCTAATGTTGAAGGTACCCTGAGGGCTAGTAGAAGTTCAGGCTTTTCAGGGATTGTGGCTACATGTTATAACTTCAGGCTATAAATGTTACAGGTCAAATTGCACCCGTCATGAAGGCGAACAAATGGGATTATTATGCCTCTATTAAGAATCTTGCAATTCCATTGGTTAATCCGAACCATGTGATGAAACAATACATTTCAATGTCGACCCCCACACCATGTGACTGACACAGACTTCAAATATTGACTCGTCACATGGTCAGTATTGACCTGTCATGTGATGAATAATGATTCATCTGCTAGAAAACAAGATGTGAATGGTATACTGACATGTTATGGTTCACAGCCAAGTTACTGTAATGAAACAGAAGATGGTTTAAAGGCTTCATAAACTTTACAGTGAATTTCGGTATAACAAAACAAATGATTACTCTTGACAAGGTCAATATGCGAAAACAAGGACCCAAGGACCCGGCCCCTGATTATTTTTATATTCCTCGCTTTCTATCTCAGCAATTAAACAGGATGTTTACCTCTTTGTGTATCGAACAGCAGAACATTAATACCCAAGATGGTTTACCATTAACGCTTACACAAGATGCCAGCGCATGCCAAATGCACGCACACACGCACACAAAAGATAAGTGTAATGCCCTGATGACACTTACTTGCCAGGATCGTGATCCAATAATGTATCCTAATGGACCTCCGTTACCTAACAAGGATCGAACTAATACAGCAATCTTTCTGAATTCAATTTTTGGTCACAGGTTATGAAAAGTGTTACTAATACTTATCTGGTTACAACAGGTCTTCAGCAACTCATGCTTGCCGTAAAAGGCGACTATGCTTGTATTTTAAGGTGACTAATGGGATTGGGTGGTCAGACTTGATGACCTGGTTGATGCATGTCATCGTACCCCAATTGTGTGAATCGATGCTCATGATATCAACTACTGGATTGTCTGGACCAGACTCAATTATTTACAGACCGCTGTCATAGTGTCGTCGTTAAACAATAAACAAACAGACTAATGCTTATTTGTGTAAGTACCATAATTTAGGGCAATTTATTGCAACTAGCATTTCTGCAGTTCCAGGTTTCACATCCTTGTCAAGTTTGAAATACGGGGCAGAATGGGCAGAGGTCTAAAGCACCAGGCTATCAAGAGCCAGGTGGTGAGATCATATCAATGTTTACAGTCACCCACTCACCCATGGTAGATGCCCAGATGGAGGAAACACAAACACATACATACACCTGAAACACAAGTGTCAAAATGTGTGGGGTCACCCTCAGGCCAAGTGACGTAGGTGAAATGTGCCTCTGTTCACCCAGCAGGGAATGGGTACACTATATGTGAGGTGGATGTAAAAACCTTTCAGCACCTGTATATCAGCATTGGTTGTGTACTCCCCAGGGAGCTAAGAATGATAACTAGGATGCATACTGATCCACTGGTCGGGGAACAAATATAAACTGCATTTGAGCAGAAATGGATAAGTTCAGTTTATAAATGAATAATAATGAGAATAGAATAATAATATTTAAAAAAAAATAAATTCTGTGATTTACGATGTGGAATGTGTTGTACGTTAACTATCCCTTATCTTGTTCTGCCTCATCACTGAACAGTAGCAGCAACCTTGGTGTGACTACATGTTTTACATTGTCAAACACTGGCAGTCTACTGTTATAAGTGAGTGAGTTAAAATTTAACATCGGCATTATTTCAGCCATATAGCCATGTAGTGTAAGAACTGTGAGTAGCAGCAAATTTCAACACCAGTGAACAGTATTATACATGTATAGCTAAAATGGATTAACTGTTCCATTGTCAGGTGCCTCACACTGTCAGTCACATTCAAACTTTCAGTCACTGAAACCATGCAGATGATAATAATAATTATTAATATAGTCCAAATTGTAAAACATACAGCATTATTTATCAAACATAAACTTAAATAATACTTATTTAAAAACAGTTTTAGTGGTTGTTTCATTTTATTGTTATAATCAATCAGATGGAGCAGTGGGGCAAAAAAAATATACTTTAGCAATTTGTATTTTGATTTCTGATTATGGATATATTGATTCTGGTCAGTCGATTCTGTAAACTGAAAAATAAACCAAAGTATCACCTTAGTATGTGAGGCAAGACCAGCTCTGATTTTTGTCTTGTTCCATGGTTCTTCAAGGCCAATGTGCTAAGGGACTGACCATTTGCTGAGCAGCTAGGAATTTATTGAAAAAAAGAAATTATCCCCAACAATTTTGAAAAAAGAAATAATGCTTCAGACTGTGGGAAAAAAAGAAATTACCTGCCACAAAAGTTACATTGTTGCAAGGTGTTTTTCTTACAAAAACATTCAGGCTCATAATATTAAATAAAAATATTTTTGGTTTTGTCGCTGTATTTGAGAAAAACATCTAATTTCGATGCAAAATCCCATGCCTCAACCCACCCAGAATATCAATTTAGACAGTACCTAACAAGGAAGGTGTCTAGATCACGTCACATGAAACAACATACACTGTGAAAAGTCAGAATTATGATTCCAAATTGACTTTAAAAAGTAAATTGATACTAGGCTAATTGAATTAATATGTAGCTCTCAGCTTGTGCTTGTGAATATTGGAAAGTTAGATTCTGATGATTGTGTTCAAACAAACATTATTTTATTCCAAAGGCGACTAACATCATTAGCAGCAAGCAGTGTAGGTTTTAAATGAGTGTAATTTATGGCTAATTATGGCCTGGTGTTTGTTCAGGAACAATTGTTAGTGCTTGCTAGCCTATAGATTACTTTAATCTTTGCATCACTGTGTGAATTAGGTAGCCATGATATATTTCCTTCCACTTGTTTAAGGAATCAATGTGAGGTTATGGCTTGAGGTAAATACTTGTTTGAGCAGCGTCTGGTCTGTTTGCAACTAATGAGATAACTGGGGGGTGTAGGTTGTTGGCTGCTACTGTGTTTATGATGTTGATATACATGGGTAGAATGGTTGACATTCCAGTGGAGTTGGCAGTTCTTACTACCAGGACTACTGTCGAGGGTTTCATTAGAACAGTACAGACAAACCATGTGCCGACTGCTACTCAGTATTGCAGTGTTCATACAGTTTTTACATGTGATGGTGTAGTTAAACTTATTGTCTGAGAACAAAAAGTAACACCTTCATCATTCTGCTGATTGAA